ATCGAAGCGCGTTAGCGCCGCGTCGCCGTCTACGGATAAATACTGGTACGGAACCCAAAGGAATGTAAACAAAATTTATACTTATTGTTAAAATCTCTATAAAATATCAGATAATTTGATGTGCATATGTCTAATGATCATTTTTGAACGCCAAATGGCATTTTCTTTTAGTTTTTTCACTAGATCTCCGAAACCGCTAGACCTGCCTTCATGAAAATTTAATCAGTTGTACATCTTGTCAACACAAGTAAAATGTTTTTTGAATTATTCAAATCGGACACTTTGTTCTCTTAGAATCTGAGCTACCGTTTGTGGCACTTTTTCCCCGTATCTTCGAAACGGTTAGACCTGTCTATGCCAAAAACAAATCAGCATGTCTCCTTATCAACAGCAATCAAATGTTTTTTTGAATAATTCAAATCGGTTGAACCAGGTTGAACCGTATTCCCGAAATCGTCGACGAAAATTTGTATCCGCACACACACGCACACATACATATATTTTTTCTAAGGTATGCCAAAATGTTCAGAAACCTCTGAAACGTAATGATATATAAAAATTTTCACCTTCGATTACTATAACTTACCCTACGGAAAGTTAAGAATAGACTATTTTTATCTATATTATATTATTTTTATCAAATATTGTATAACCTGAAACATGCAAGCAAAAGATAACACTTGCATAACATTTGTGCAACGTAACAACAACGCAACACAAACGTATTAATATAATTATAATTAAATAAAAGTCTAAGTCTAAATGAATCCATTAGGATATTTATTTTATTTCTTTTCCATTGATAATTAAATTTGGTCTATTACAATTGTTCACTTCGTGCAAAAACAGAAATGTCGCATCCATCTTTCTATAATTATCAATTATTATTAATTATTATTTATTATTATTATTAATTAGTCGTGTTGCAAAAACTCAGTGCATTTATCGTTCTAAAGGATCGACTGTTCAGGTGAAAAAAATAATGGTAGTAATCTAAAAACAACAAAATTCGTTGAGATACTGATTATATTGCAGCAGACGCCCTCGCCACCTGCCCTAAGTAATTGGTAATTGGTTCTGTCGAATTATCTTCACATTTTATATAAAAATTACCAGTAATATGTATCCAATTATTTAAACATTGTTAAAGTCATCTTTACAGCTTAGGAGTAACTATTTTTAAATTAGTATCTAATTTATTTTTTCACCTGAATAATCATATTTCATAGAAATAGCAAAATGTAATATCGTCGACAAAAAATGTCGACAAGAAAATGATTTAATTTTAATTTGTACTGACAACGAGAGAAAAACTAAAGAAGTCCCTTTTTGCAAGAGGCTTCTCTTTGCGTTTGAATTGTCCAGTGAACCATAAACGTTGAAGTTACGTAACAGGGAAGAAACATCAGGTAAGTTTAGTTATATAGCACAATGTCGTTGTAAAATATGGAGTCTGCTCATACAATGTTTCATAAATGTTGCTTACAAAATAGCGCATCACTTGATTGATGTAATATTGCACACGTTACATTTACGTAACTCGGAGAAACAAAATAGGGAAGAAGCACGAGGTAACCTTAGTTCATAAATTTTACATACAAAAAAGCGCATCACTTGATTGATGTAATATTACATACGTTACAACTACGTAACTCAAATAGGCAAATTACTTGTAATGAGTTAAAACTATGAACATTGAAGTTGCGTAACAGGGGAGAAACACACGGTAACCTTAGTTACATAAGCACAACATCGTTGTAAAATATGTAGTCTGCCCATAATTTACACTGTTTCAAGAATATTACTTACAAAATAGCGCGTCAATGGATTAAAGTTACATTACATACGTTAAAATTACGTAATTCGGAGAAACCATCTTGTAACTTTAGTTAAAAAACATTCTTAAAATAGGTAAAAATAGGCTAATTACTTCTAATAGGTTGAAATCATGAACGTTAAAGTTACGTAACAGGGAGAAACACGCGATAACCCTAGTTACATAAGCACAACGTCGTTGTAAAATATGTAGCCTGCTTATAATTTACACTATTTCATAAATGTTGCTTATAAAATAATTACATTACATACATTAAAATTACGTAATTTGGAGGAAAATTTCTGTAACTTTATTTAGGCATCGTTTTACTTAGCTTTTTTTTATAATTGTTGCATACAAAAAGGTGAACTACTTGAAATAAATTGAGATTATGTTACATACTTTAAAATTACGTAATTTTCAAGTAGCATTCTTTAATTATTTATCACATTTATTAAACGTTGTTGCAAAACATGCCTGATATAAGATATTATGACGCAACAAAAATGAAACTACTACATTCTTTGTTATTACCAAGAAAGTAGTCTTAAATTTATTTAAACATTTAGCTTCCTCTAGTTTACAGTACAACGTTATATGTGTTACGTAACATCAACCTATCTATTACATATGTACGTTACAAAAATGAAACAACTGCGTTTTCTTGTTTATACCAGGAAAGCAGTCTAAAATTTATTTAAACATTTAGCTTCTTCTGGTTTACAGTACAACGTTATATGTGTTACGTAACATCAACGTGTCTGTTACATATGTTACGTAACATCAACCTTTCCTTTACTCTTTTGGTTCACTGGGTTGCTAATCAAAAATTGATTAAGTGAGATCATTTGAAATAGATTTTCATAAAAGTAACAAATGTTTTATTTGCAATTATTTTATCGACTGGAAGCCAAAGAAAACACTACAGGTTTTCCAAGTCTTCCCATCAATCGATAAAACTCAACCTCTATTCATCATCCATTTTTTTTTACATCCTAATAGATAAATATATTATTATTATTTCATTGGTACTGGAGTGGTTTAATAATAAATTGATTTTTTAATTAAAAAAAAAATATCATTGCTTTTGTTGTAATGAATTACAGATTGAATTTGCAAAGTGGAAAATGATAAGAGTTATATTTAATTTAAATAATATAAATAGTACTGTAACTATTTGAACTTCCACTCTGCAAAATTTTTAATGAACTACTAACACACACACAGATACATCAATTAAAATATTTGTGTGTTAAACTTTTTTTTTTTTTGGATAATCCATCAATACGATGAATTTGTTTTTTTAAATACAATCTAAGACATAATAATATTTCTATATATATAATATATTACATTCAAGTTCTTTTAAAAAAGTTATCGATAGAACCAAAGAAATCAAAACGGTTTCTTTGGATGTATTAAGTTTTTTTTTATTATATATATACATATATATGTATATGTATATTTATATATATAATATAATTATAATTATAATTCATTTGTAATGCCACTCATTTTTATGTATCGTAAAACATTCTATCGAACAACAATGATTTTGGTTTTGGTTACAAAATGGATATTATAGATATATACATAAATATATATTATATTTATTATGTATAATTATATACATATTATATATATATATATATATATATATATATTGTATGTATATCTTGTATAACATTAATATTATATAATTTTATGCAATTTATACAAATGTATAAAATTTTGTTTTATTACCGAGAAAAATATTAAATATATTTGATATTGATTATATTTATCAATATAATTATTAATAATGTTATATATAAATATATATAAATATATATATATATATATATATATATATATATATAAAATTCTTCTGTACGGGTGTATGATTTGATGCTCCTCCTAAACGGTTATTCAGATTTTGATAAATCTTTTTAGAGTTTGTCAAAGAAAATTGTTAAGTGAACGATAAAACTACAGTAATATTGTTGAAATAAATGGCAAGAATTACAAAAAACCACTTATCATTGTTTGACATTGAAAATATTTGAACTGTCATCTGCTAGGCTTGTCAATTCACTTGAAATTTGGATTTAGCTGAAATTATGAGACTAGATAATATTAGAATATAATATACAAGAAAAATGTAATGTCCACCTACATTATTATTACTGAAAAGCAGCTGAGATATGCCAGATATTGAAATAATATAAGATACAGTCAACAGTATATGTTTGGCAGATGAAATTATATAGTTCAATTTAATAAATAACGCAACAGTCCAAAATTGCATGTACATTATTTTTTTAAACGTATGCATGTCGCATTTTGATTTACTTTACTAAATTATTTAACAATACAAAAAAATCTTTCTACTTATTAAAAAAAATTCATTTGTTTGGCATTGGATATGGAATATTAAGTAAGTTGATCGTAGATTCAATAGTGTACAAATAGGACAACGTATGTCGGGTCATCTAGTATATATATATATATAATGTGTGTGTGATTGTATGTATGTATGTATGTATGTACATAATTTTTCCTCGATCCATTAAGTACTGGACAACTGCATAAAATAAATACATCCATTACCATTTTGTAACCAAAATCATTCCTGGTCTCTCACTTATACATTAAACATTAAAAATGTCCCCTTTGATTCAAATTAATATATTCCGGGTCGACATTATAATTTTCAAAACTTAATCTAATAATTTTTTTTCATTTCGCTCTTTACTAACTAATTTTATTTTAATTTTTTTTGTGACGCTTTCATCTATTCTTTACACTTTTAAAAACACACAATCTAAATTTAATAATTTTTCTGATATAATACATTTTTCTTTTTTCAACAAGCTTGGTAATAGCTCGAGCTACACTTTTTGTGTGCATTAATAATAATCTTGATAACTAAAATTTAATTTTTGATTGGAAAATAATATTTGATGTTGTTTTTAATTTGGTGCTCACGATAATATTTTCAACACTTTTGTTAAATACTTATAATTTGCATTCCATAATGGTTATTCAAAAATTTGTATGATTGTCAAATTAAAAAATACTTTTACAAATGTTAAAAACAACGTGAGAACACCATGCGACAGTGATATGATATCAAAGTCCTTCTAGTCCTTCAATAACATTTCACCATCCTCTACCATCTATCCTTAACCTTAGCAGCACTTACGATTATTGTTAGCCCTGGAGTGCCTCTGAGCTTGAGCATGATCAGCCCTACGTCTTCTGGCATTTCTGGTGTTAACCTCCCGAGCTTTATTGCTCCTCTCGAGAGCTCCCCTTTTCAAAGGCTGTCTACCTTTATTGCTCTTCTTTGAATTCTTCTCTTTCTCCTCTCTCTGCATTTGTGCAGTGGGTGAGCCTCGGGCACCACGTAAGCCCCGAGCTGAACCAGAGTCGTTCGATGTGTTCGTGGGGTCCGTTGGGGCCTCCGTGGGGGCTGGGGAGTCGTCGCGGGTGTTCTCGTCGGTCAACTCGAGGGCTTCGAGGGTCGTGTAGCGACCGCGTTGGTAGACAGACATACTAGATAAGAAGAAAATTGTTATAGGTATTTTTATTTAAATAAAAATAAGATTTGTATATGAAATAAATTATAAGCAAATACTAAATTCGCTTTTGTCTCTTCGAATCCTCTTCAACACTTAATATGTTAATTAGTTAATAAGTTTTAAGTAAAGATCGACCGGGTCATTTCTTTGTTATTATTTTGATCCAAATTATTTCACATATTTCTTTTATTGAATCTAGTTATTCAATAAAAGAAATATGTGAAATAATTCTAAAATATCGTAAGATCTAAAATATTATAAGCTCAGCAAAGTTAGTTTCACTACCTGTAAAGATTAATTATCTTTTATATCAGTTTATTATCATTATTACCTTGGGTGCTCGATAAGCAAGTTTTCAAGGGGTCCAGTTGCAAGCTCTCCGGGACCTTGTGAAGTAAAGCATGGTGGTGGGGTAACAAACCATGATTCTTCCATAGTCCTCGCAGGGGAACATGAAGCACTTCGAGATTTATCAACCTTTATAAGAATATAAACTATTAAAACCTTACTTAGATACAGAAGAAATATATTAATGGATTTCTTAAACAGTTTTTAGGATTTTATTTAAATTAATTAATCAAAGTATTGTGTTAAATTTGATCTGTCTTGGCAGTTCAATAATTACTGCTCTTTAGCTGGTGAATATCGATATGTTATACCTAAACACACTGTAAAAATCCAGTTACAATTTGGATTTTATTTCTGGGGCTCTATTACATCTAACTTTTTTCTAACTTACTTATTTATTGCTTATTTACCTAACTAGTTCTAAATAAAACATTGTAACCTGCGTGACAATTGTCAACAAATGTATTTCTTATATTAGATACCTGTCTAAAATTCCTGGACCCATGTTGCTTGTGCGTTGGAAGCACAGGAGGTGGTGAAGAACGCTGCTCACCTTCACTGTCAGTCAATCTTGCTGCAGGAGAGTCGACAGATTCCTCAGAATCAGATGGAAGCTCTAGAATAGACACAGAGGTATTAGAAACCAGAATCGAGGAACCACTTGTTCATTAAGATGGACTCAGATGACCATTGATCATAAGTATCAATTGTTGACTACAATCTACTTTGTATCACCGTTGATCATAAGTGTTAATTATCAACTACAATCTACTTTTATAATTACCTTTATCCACGAGCAACCAGTCATCAACTTCAACAGAAGTGATTCTCATAGGCGGGTTTTGGTTCTCAGGTTCATTGACTGGCTGTGCTGCTCCTCCAAGCAAATAAGCTGCTAAGCTGTTCAACATTTTCTTCAATTCAATCTAAAATAATAAAGGACATATTAGAATAAATTACTATAGAGAAAGTAGTAAGTAGAAATATTATTTTAGTAATATTTTTATAACACTTATTAATATGAAACCTGGATAGAGGATATTATTGCAGTTGTATAAAACGACTCAATTTAGGGATTACTTTTAATTTATATGAATTTTATAATATTTTGTAGTACATTAATTTTTGACATTACGCCATTTTGAATGCAAACTGTAGTAACAATTTTAAGTAATTAAAATAAATTTATTATTATTATGTACGTACCAATATGTTTTTTTACTGATTTTGATTTATACGCACATATTTAATATATTAACAATGACAAATAACTACTACTAATAACAATAAATTGTTCTAAAACACCAAAAGCATTATTCGCGTTTTTTCTGCACACCATTTTTGAACTGCTCTGAACTTTGCAACGAATATGGTATTTGGCATATTTTTTATTTATTTAAAATTATTGATTTAAAAAATATATTTTGAATCTTAGTTATTTTTATTTAAATAATACCAAAAAAATAATCAATTATAACTTAATATTAATTAATTACAATGTTTAAAAATATAAATAAACTAAATATTTTGAAGACAACTTCATGCTACTTTTTTGACAGTTCAAATTTGTTGCACAAAACATTAATAAGTAAGTAAATATATAATATTTATTTAAATATAATAAAATAATTTATTTAAATTTAATAAAATAATATATGCTTGTCTTCTTGTCTACAATGAATAAATTAGAATTATTATATTTAATTATGTTAATTTGTTTAAATTATCATATTATATTTATTTTATATAACTTTTCAACCTTCTTTTCAATATTTATTAATTTCATTATTTGTTTTTAGTGAAGATTTATTTATTTATAATTGAATGGAAGCCCAACCAAGATAGTGTCATAGTCAAAAATTTAGATTCGAGCAATCAAATTGTCATTATATGATATCGAAAAGTATTATAACACATAAACAATAACCATTGATATATAAAAGATCATAAAAAGGTATATTAAAATATTTTTATATGTATAATTTATATAATTTGAATTTTAGGATTTGATTATTGACATATGTTATGTCTATCGAATTATTTAATGTTATCTTTCATTTGGATACATCGATATGTAATAGAAAGTTAAAAGATTGAAATTTCCAATTTCATAGAATAATAAATATAATTTATATTTTAGGATTCAAATGCTGATATTACTAGAATTAATTATGTGATGTATATTGAAGACTTTAACTCTACCTATTCCATTAAATAGTCTAATATACAATAAAACATAAAAAGGTAAAGATATACTTGGTATATTTCATATTCACAGAATAATTTATTTTATTTATAGTTCAGAACATATATATGTTGATACTACTATGATGTTTTGCGATGTCTATCATATATTTCAATTCCATCTATATTTATTTATTTATAATTGAATGGAATCCCAATGAAGATATTGTCAAAAATTAAGTTTCGAGCAATCAAATTGTCATTATTTGGTATCAAAAACTATTATAATACATAAACGATAACCATTGATATATGAAAGAACATAAAAAGGTATATTAGAATATGTTTACATATATAATTTATATAATTTGAATTTTAGGATTTGATTATTGATCTATGTTATGTCTATCGAATTATTTAATGTTGTCTATTTCATTTGGATACATCAATATGTAATAGAAAGTTATATATATATATATATATATATATATATATATATATATATATATATATTATATGACATTATTCTTGAATAATGTCATATTATTAAAATAATTAATTTAATTTATATTTCAGGATTTAAATGCTTATACCACGATGAATGATGTGATGTCTATCAAAGGATTTAACTCTACCTTTTCCAATAATTTCCTCTAATTCACAATAAAATATAAAAAGGTATTGATATACTTGGTTCATTAATATATTCATCTGAAAGGTATTGATATACTTGGTTTATTCAACTACTATGATGTTTAGTGGTATCTATCACATAATTAAATTCCATCAATATGCTGTTTCTTATAATATCAATTTGTCGAATGACTAATAACAAATTTAACTAATAGTTTTTTAACTGCTAGTTTATAAGAGTTGAAACCTAGAATTCATAATTAACATTTGCCTGAGAACATTTTTATTTAAGAATCATTTCGGATTATGGATTCATATTCATTTCATATTGTTTCATATGAGAATGATGTCTATAGAAGAATTTATAAAAAATAAAAAGGTATTGATATACTTGGTTTATTTGTATATTCATAGAATAATTAATGTAATTTGTATTTCAGCATTTGAATATTGATGGTACTATAATATTTTGTGATGTCTATCACATAATTCTATTCCATCAATATACAATTCTTCATAATGTCAATTAGTCAGAGGATTAATAACGAATTTAACTAATCGTTTTTTAACTGCTATTTTATAAAAGTTAAAACAAAGAATCCATAATAATTAGCATTTGCCCGAAGACATTTTAGTAAATAAAACATTTCATATAATGAACAAACTATTATGGTACTTTTATATATATTTAATTATATGTACCATCAATATCTGCATTAGGATGATGATTAATAGACTTTTAATTGGTTTGTATAACTAATGCAATATTAAAATTAATAATTTATATTATATACAGCTTTTTATGTTTCAGGATCTAAAGAAGTAGCTACTAAAACATATAAAAATACTATGGTCTAATATATTACTTAAAATAGCAAGCATTGCTACAAAATAATGCAAAATAGTCAATTAAAATATGTAAATTTTAAAATTAACATTGTATAATAATATTATAAATTGATGTTGTGAATATATAAATATTATATTTAAGCATTAAACTGCTATAGTTATATGTATCAATTTTGAAACAATGTTAAATGAAACAATTATTTTAAATTAATTGAAAAGTATTAAAAATTTTATATGCTCTATTATTATACTAAACATATGATATTTTTTTTTGTAAATCAAAGCATTTTGGAGTTTGATGAAGATAATCAAATCAGAGTCGAAGCAAGTTACCTTAGACCAACTTCCAAAAGTTTGCAAAAAGAAAATAAAGTAGTTTTTAAGTGTATTTATACCTATGTGAAATAAATGTACAAATGTGTACTGTACTTTTATAAGAATATTGTTCTGAATTTGAAATAATTCAAATTATTGTCCTAAAACAATGTAAAACTGTATTGACTAGTTTATCAATGTTATCTCTACATAACATCTTTTATATATGCTTTATAGATTTATTTTTGTATAAATAAAGTTGCAATTGCAAATCTTATTCATTTTTGGAGATTGAAAGTCATTGTAGTAGATTTAAAATCATTGTAGTGGGTTTAGAATCATTGGAGTAGATTTTAAAGTATTTTTAGTCTACTAAAATCATTTTTTTACACCTTCAATCATTTACATTTCATCTGTATTAATTTCTGCACAATAACAAACATAATATTTGATTTTTTTATTAATATTTAATCATATAAAGCAGAAATTCTTATTTATCTTACAATTCATTTATTTCTATTTCAAATTTAGCGCCCTAACAAACGCAACAATTCTTACATCCAACTTCACAACAATAAAACTGTCAACCATCTGACATATTGCGCAGCAGTTTTGTGCAAGAATAAAAATCATGTCGCTTTAAATTTAAATTTCGATTAAATTCTGTGATAATTTAGTGCTAAATTATAGTTAAAAATGTGCTTTATACAATATAATACATAGTGTTTGTTACAAGTTAAAAGAAACGTGATAAAAGTAAGTTGAAAATTGGATTTGAGGTTATGTCATCGGTCCTGTAAGTCTTTTTGATAATTTGTCATTTTATAAATTAAACTTTAATGTTTATTTAAATTTTAACGTAAATTTTGTTGTAATTTTTACAATTTTTTATATTTTTATTGCATGATTTGCATAATTTTTACATATATGTTATCTTAACACCGGCGTCTTCAAGTTGATAAGATTGTGCAAGTAATTCAAAGTGCTTTGAAAATATGATAATTCATGTCGTTTTTTTCACTCTTTTAGATGTTTAAAGTGCATTTATAACTTATAGGTAGTTGATAAGATCATATGTGTGTCAATAGGGGCTTAATTGCAGTTCGAGATGAGGCTTGTACATATGCATAAGTTCTTCGAGACACAATACAAACAATACAGATACAATCTGGTACTACTATGGTAATTTATGTCGTTTTTGCCCTTTTTTTAGACTATTTAGGAACATTGAAAACATAAATAGTTCAATATTTTTGACAAGATCATGCTTTTGTCTATCGAGGCTTAATTGTAGTTTGAGACAAGGTTTGTAATTTGTTACAAAATTCTACTTATTCGAGACACAATACAACCATAAAATACTTCAAAATAGTAATATTCATTCATTTACATTGAAAAGATCATACTTTTGTCAATTGAAGCTTAAGTGAAGTCTGAGAAGAGGTTTGTAGTTTGTAGTACCTATAAATTCTTTCTAAGAAGTTTTTAAATAACTCCGTAAGCTTCATAAACTTTGTTTGTTAACTACATTTTATGTATTACACTACACTCTTATATTCCTATTTATCATCTTTTTAAAATATATCAATTTTTTCCTATTTGTAAAAAAAACAAGCTTTGTATTAATATGTAGTTTTTAACCAGAAAGGTTTCTTCGGGCCTCCTGAATATAATCGAAGATTTCAAAAGATTTCTATTTTATAAAATAGAAGCTTGAAATATACTAAAATAGTTGAGAGACTATTGAGACCATTAAATGATATGAAATAAAAATAGTTTGTTGTTTTGTTATGATTAACATAGTAGAAAGTTCAATTACTATTTATTTTCTAAATAGAGATTACTTATGCTAATAATAATAGTAAAACAATAAAAAATGCTATAGCTTTGGTTGTAGAAAAGATAAAAGAAAAAACAGGGAAAGAATTAATTCTGCGAAACGAATTTGCAAAGATGAGGCAACATCCAGCAAGATATTTCTGTGAGGTACAAACTTCTCGATATAAAATAACTAATTCAAATCAAATGTATAAAAATTATCAATTGCACCAGAGCGTTTTTTATGGTTGTTAATACTTAATTCATACCATTTTGAAAAAATTATGAGATGACCCGACAGACGTCATGTACCCATGTCTACAATTCAAAAGTTCCAATTTTTTTTAATATCCCATTTTATATTTTTTAATATCCCATTTGATGTCCTGCTTTTGTGATTAATTTATGGTGTTAGTTTAAGCAGTATAAGAAATTCAGAAAAAAATAATATAGTATCTGCGGTGAACAAACAATATCACACTTGATTTTTCTACACAACATAATTGCTTCAATAATTTAGTCTATAATTTTCTTAATCTTGTACCATATATTAGTTTCCTTTTGGCAATTAAAATTTCTAAAGTACATTTTTCTTACTAATAATCTAATAAACATTATTGTTCAAGTCTTAGGTGAATTAATTTGTAAAATCTAGTTTATATGTGAACTATTCAATCTACAATCAACTAACTAAATAATCCATATCCAATGCCAAACAAATGAATTTTTCATACATGAAACAAAATTTTGAGTCATTTTTTTAATAAGTAAAAATATTTTTTTGTCTTGTTAAATAATTTAGTAAAGTAAACCCAAATGCGACATGCATAAGTTTAATTATATAATTTCATCTGCCAAAAATATACTGTTGACTGTATCTTATATTATTTTAATTTCTGGCACATCTCAGCTGCTTTTCGGCAATAATAATGTGACTTACATTTTTCTTGTATATTACATTCTAATATTATCTAGGCTCATAAATTCAGCCAAATTTAAATTTCAAATGAATTGACATTTCTAGCAAATGTTTTCAATGTCAAACAATGATAAGTGTTTTTTTTGTAATTTTTGCCATTTATTTCTACAATTTACTATTGTTCTATAGCTCATTAAATCTTAAAAATTTCCTTTGACAAACTCTAAAAGGAATTATCAAAAACCGAATAACCGTTTAGGAGAAGTATCAAATCATACACCCGTACAGAAGAATTTTATATATAAAATATATAAATATAATTTACAATTTTCCATACTTTTCGTCTCTTATCAAAAAATTGCGTCGTCTAATTTGCAATAATAAAATACTTTAATTTGTTTACTTGAAACTCTCATAAAATTGTTGCAATAACAATAACATGTCGAATCGACAGAAATAAATTTTATCATTTTTTTGTAATTCAAGAGCAACTCATGAAAAGAACACGAGGGTGGAATATTCTATAAATAACAAACAAATATTATTAATTTATATATATATATATATATATATATATATATATGTATATATGTATATATATCTATAATAATATTTTTGGCTGATGCAACAAAGTATTCGATTAGAAATATTTACTGATTTCCATCTTATCTGTTTTGATAAATATTTTCGATTTAAATTAATTAACAAGTCTGTGTTTTTGTTATTGTTTTTAAATTTATACATATTTACGTAAATAAACATCATTTTGAAATAATTTGATCATTCATATTATAATTTTGATAAAAAGTCTTTTTCAACCCTTCCCACTCGGATGCTGCCGCACCGGCGGCAAAATTCATATAAATCTCGGAATTCGCGAGTTTTTTTTAACTTCCCGTAGGGTAAGTTATAGTAATCGCAAAAAAATCGAAAATGAAAATTTGTATATATCTTTACGTTTTAAAAACTTCTGAACATTTTGGCATACCTTAGAAAAAATGGATGTGTGTGTGTAAGTGTGCGGATACAAATTTTCGTCGACGATTTCGGAAACACCGATCAACCGATTTGGATAATTTATAAAACGTATTGATAAGGAGACGTGCTGATTAGTTTTTGGCGAAGGCAGGTCTAGCCTTTTCGAAGATACGGGGCAAAAAGTGCCAAAAACGGTAACTCAGTTTTTAAGAGAACGGAGCGTTCGATTTTAATAATTCAAAAAACATTTTACTTGTATTGACAAGATGAAGAACTGATTAAATTTTTGGGAAGGCAGGTCCAGCGGTTACGGACTCTCAATAAAAAATAAGTTAGTAACATGTCATTTGGCTGTAAAAAATGTTTATTGGACATATGTACATCAAATTATCAGATATTTGATAGAGATTTTAATAATGTGTACACATTTTGTGTAAATTTTTTGGGTTCCGTACCAAGATTTTAAATTACGGTACGGGAAGTTGAAGCAATTTGCCCTAAAGCACGATGCCAAGCACCCCACTAGTTTAATTTTGTTCATATTTCCCGAATACATCATTCATATCAATCGAATGGTTCAAAAGTTACAAGAAATATAATAAATAAGAGCTCAACAAATGAGTCAATACACTATGAAGTTGTTGCAGACACAACAACCGACGTTGTTATGGCAACGCTATGTTATGCTTGTTTCTTGGTAGTAAAAACTGTGAAGATGTTTATCCAATTGCTGTATGATCAGGTGTTTCACACATAAATCGTATGTTATAAATGCACATCAGAAGGATGCAGTTATCATAACATTCTTTCTTGCATTGTTTATATGTAAAATACGCCTGATCGCATAGCAAATAGATAGTATTTTTACAGTTTTTACTACTAAGAAACAAAAACAACATAGGGTATAAAATTACAAAAGATAAAATAAACAAGCACACAAACTTTAAATTTTAATTGCAATTTAAAGTATACCGAGTTGTTTTAGAGTTTAGATAATTTAATTCTTGACAAATTTATCTCACCCAAATTAATCTAATAATTCAAAGATTACAAAATATATTATAAATTTTATTATAAATCCGAAGCTTCTTTTACCACCCGCTGCCAACAGATGACGCCAGCAGTCGTTTTTTTGACTGCCGTCCATTTTGGCCTTTTGACAATTATTTCGAATGTTATTCAACAAAATTTCGAAGAAGACTATTTTAGTTCTATAAACACGATGGTAAATTAAATAATAGACGGTAAATATCAAAATTTGTTGTAAACGAGCCAGTTGACATTAAAATAATTCGGTGACAGTAATGGATGAATGCATTACATATCTACGAATATACTCTTCTTTTATCTATGGATGGAAAATATAGTTGTAACCATAGATAAAAGAAGAGTATTATTGTAACCATGGGGGGGTAAACATAGAACAAATGCACTTTATTCTGTGTGAGTGTTTTCAGCATATCACAGATGGCACTAGTGTGCTTCAAATTCAACGTTTGTTTTAAAACGCGATCTCTCTAGGTAAAGTACACGTACTATAAATGTTCAAGTAATTCTTTATAAAAAAGTTTTAGTTCATTTTAGTAAACTGACGCTAGTAAAAAAAGAACTATAGTTCTCTTATCTTACTGTATAATAACTTAGCAATCTTATCCCATTTTTTATATATTTTTTTTATTAACCTTTTCTATGTTGTCTCAAGGGAGTATCGTATAATAATCAACAGGGTCCTTTTTATATGTTTAATAATATATGTTTGACATACATTGTATACACAGGGGGTTCCCTAAGTTATCGATTTACCACTAGGGCGCCCTTAGTTACCATTCATAGATAGAAGGGGTGACCATGACCAGAAGTACAGTCAAGTAGGGAAAATAAATTAATGGTATAAAAATGATTAAATTATAAAATGTTAAAATGATTAACCGAGGAGATTTTTTTAAAATTGTAATTAAATGATTACCATATTTTAATAATTTTATCATTTTAAGATACTGATTAAAATAATGAGTGATAAACACTTTAAGATACATATATGATTAGGAATTTTATAAGAACAAAATCCTCTCTCTCTCTCATTTTTATAAGAACAAGAAAATGTGTAAGATATAAATCTATTATGCCAATGTCTAAAAAGTGTCGAAATGTCTGAAAAAGTGTCAAAATGTCTGTGTAAGTGTCTAGATGTTTAAATGTTAACGATGCTATCAACTAATGATCAAAAAGATCAATATGTCTAAAAAAATGTCAAGTAAGTGTCGTTTTGCCATTGTCGAAAACTTTCAAAATGAGAAATTAACAAAAAAAATGTCAAAATAACTGGGATATTGACTAAATATGATTAATGTCTGAAAAAGTGTCAAAATGTCTGATAGTGTCAAAAATGTATCAAAATGTCGAAGAATATGCTATTGACGAATTGACTAATGTCTAAAAAAGGTAGCGAAAATGTGTGAGAAACTGCCAATGCCTGACTCAAAATGTCAAAATTTTTGAAAAAATGTCCAAAAGTCAAGAAAGAATAGAAATGTCTGAGAATGTGTCAAAATGTTAAAAATGCCAATAACTAACAATGTCAATATGCCTAAGACTAAGAAAATGTTAAATTATGTAATATAAGTGTCGTTATAACATTGTCTGAAAAGTGTCAAAATGTCTGAGTAAGTGTCTAGAATTCTAGATGTTTAAAACTTTGTCAAATGGGTCTAAAAGTTTAAAAAATCATGATAGACATTTGTCTAAAAATGTGTCGAAAGCTAGAACTACTTGAAAACCTAGTCTGAAAAGTGTCAAAATTTTCTGAAAAAGTATCAAAATGTTTGAGTAAGTGTCAAAAAGATTAAAAAGTGATGGCAGACATATGTCTAAAAATGTGTCAAAAGCTAGAACTACTTGAGAACCTTGTTTGAGAAAGTGTCAAAATGTCTGAGTAAGTGTCAAAACTTTTGAAAAAGTATCAAAATGTCAGAGTAAGTGTCTAGAAGTTTAAAACTTTGTCAAATGGATCGAAAAGTTTAAAAAGTGATGACAGACATTTGTCTAAAAATGTGTCGAAAGCTAGAACTACTTGAGAACCTTGTCTGAGAAGTGTCAAAATGTCTGAGAAAGTGCCAAAATGTCTGAGTAAGTGTCAAAGTGTCTTGAGTAAGTGTCTAGACTTTTAAAACGTTGTCAAATGGGTCGAAAAGTTTAAGAAGTGATGACAGACATTTGTCTAATCTTATGTGTAAAAAGCTATAACTAGTTGACCACCTTGTCTAAGAAGTGTCAAAATGCCTGAGTAAGTGTCGTGTCTAGATTTTTAAAACGTTGTCAAATGGGTCGAAAAATTTAAGAAGTGACGACAGACATTTGTCTAAAAATGTGTCAAAAGCTAGAACTAGTTGAGAACCTAGAAAAAAGGTTCTCAAAATTTTATACTTTATATTCGAAAAATTACCATCATAAAAGTATTAAAAATACTTACATAAAACTTCGTCCAATGTCACAACTCGAATTTAAATATCGATTAATATCACAGCACTCGAAAGAATACGATCTTTATTAATAATTCTTACTTAATAAGATTTATCTTATTATTAGTTAACACTCTCTTGTCTTATTCAATCGTTTAACACTCACACACTTTTTATAATAATATTTATAATCTTAATTAACGGCAGTTTAACGTTCTAGCTCCTCTATAAATGCTAGTCGATATTTTTCATTAGATAAATTTCTATTTTAATTATTATCACAAGTAGCTGGCTGTTGTTGGTTGTGTTATTAGTGTTGTTTGTCCTTGGTTATTGCTTAGTTTCGGACATTGTTATTATTTATTTGTTATTTATTTATTGATTCGATTTGGTTAAGATTATTTTCAATGTAGTGTTGTGTTGTTCGCGTACGATATGCTACTGACTGGTCGCTTCGTGATTTGACAGAACAGAACGCTTTGGTGTCGTTGGGTTGGTGTTAGTGTTGGTGTATACACTAATATTGAGAAGTGTGTATCGGAACAGGGGCGGGAAACACTAGTTTTAAACTGTCGCAATCTGCCAGAACGCGTTGGAAGAACATCACGATTCCGCCAATGAAAGTGAAAGTGAAGTAAATCATTCAAATCTGTTGCTCCGTTCCCTCACAAACTGGATTGCCATTTTTGGCACTTCTTGCCCCGAAACGGTTGGATCTGCCTTTTCCCTATACACTTTGAAAATTTTAAAAAACTACAACGACAAAACGGTAAAATTGTCATAGACTATACACTGAAATTTTGAAAAAATGAAAACGACGAAAACTTTGTTAAAATTGTCATATTGCCATACAATCATCGATAGGAATTGAAAGTTCTTTGAATCATTCAAATAGGTTAATCCATGCTCTCGAAATCGTGGACAAAAATGGTGTCCGCACACACACATACATACTTATAAACTCTTTTACACTGTTAAGTAAAAGAGATATTAAGTCGAAGAATTACTTCAGAAGATACTCTTTTAGAAGTGATGCTGCATGGAACGCTATAGACACATTTGTTCCAAAGTGTTACAAATTTGCGAATGGCAAAATTAGAAGAAAAGTATAATTTCAGAGAGAGAAGTATACCCTTCTAGATCCTCCCCCCATGAAGTTACGCCTAACGGCGGTTTCCGTGGGGACCACTGGCGAGGTAAGCGGAAGTTTTACTAAGTACTATACACAGACGGTGTTGAGTCCGAACATACTCAGACAAAAGACCTAGTCTGGAAGTCATAAACTATACAAAAAACACGCACATACATACATCAATTTTTCTAAAGTATGCTATTTTTATGTACAGCATCCGCCCTAGTCGCTCCGCCCAAGCAATAGCAATTGGGATAAAAAATGTGTTAGTGTGTAATATGTGTGTCCAAAATTTTACAGAATTTTTCAAAATATGTCAATGTGTTAAAATGTGCCGAAATGTGTCAAAATATGTCAGAAATTCTAAAAATGTGCTTACTTATTTATGAATCCGAATGCAAAATGTAGGAGCAATCGCTGTAACTAGCACAGCTATCAAAACATTGATAGAGAACACCATAGTCTATTTTTCGCATCTTTAATTAATTTCTTTATTTTAACCACTTCTCATAGGCCTATAATATTTTAAGGTATCCGGGTTGACTATAAACTCTATCATCATGTAAAGTTTCATCAAAATCCCAGAAGAGTAAACCTATGGAACAAATATTTATCAACCTTGTGAGTTCACATATTATTTAAGAATTGTGTCAAACAAAATGTGGCAAAATATGTCAGAAGTTAAAAGAAACAAAATCGTTTTTTTTCTACAATATGTACATTAAGATTTAACCATACATACACTCCGTTTCACCTGAGTAGAATTGGGATTAATACCGATTCCAATTGCTGTTGCTTTGGAGGAGCGACTAGGGCGGATGCTGAGCACGCCATTATGGAGTACAAAATATTGGAAAAGGGTAGACAAGAACTATGGAGGGAGATAGTAAGGAAAAGATTCTCCCTCCCAACCAATTTTATAACATTATTGACAAAGAAAAGTATATATGGTGCACAATACAATTATATACAAGCAAATAAAATAATAGTGTAAAGATGAATTATAAAATGTGTGATGACTAATGTACGTATATACAAAGTCAAAAAAAAAAACAATAAAAAACCATGCCTCTATTTCATATCACAAGGTTTGCAATCCCCTTCAAGGCTCTCAGTGCCCGTTCCGTCAATACCCTCGCGCATGCCCCCCTCTATCCTAGTGCCCATTTTGCTTGTGTTGGTCTGTTAGTTGGAATCGGGAATGGGATTTTGTGTTCGTGAGTTCCAGAGCGTGCACTAGCTGGTTACATTCAGTGCATTAGTGTTGGTACTTGTGATAGAGTTGGTGTTAGTGTCAGTTGTTGGTTCTGCTGTGTTGGTGTGCGTCAGTGGCGTAGTTCAGATTATATTTGATGGTGAGATAGTAGATAAATGTTTGATAATAAAATAGAACAAAAACAAAAGAATCGGTTTTATAGGTTTTTATACAACTGGTACGACTTCTTTATGTATATATCAAATTTACCCAACTTAATATCTTTATTTGCACGGAACTGACACTATGTTGTTTGTTTTGCACCCACGAGCTAAGGGGGCGTCTGTTAATCACGTGATCGATTTTTTAAGAACTTTTGGACTTCCCTTCTCCTTGGTGATACGTGGTAGTATTTAAAATTACTCACCATACCCCACCAAATATTACGTGCATTTTTAGTTACGAGAAAAAATTGTCAAATTTTTGTTTTCTTCTTTAAATGTTTGTTCTTTTTTTTAAAAAAAATATATAAAAAATAAATATACGTATTTTATTACCCCCTCCTTTCCGCCACGTGACATTTCGTGATTTTTTGTCAACCCTCCATCCTTAGAAACCTGACATGATTAATGGACGCCCCATAATTGTAAAGGAACGATTCGGAAAATCTTTGCATCAAACTAATCAACACAAATCCTTATCGAGTATCATCAAACGACTTCAACATTTTTGAAATCACATGTACCTTTTCCAATTTCCGCGTCAATAGATTCAAAATGACTTGAAACGTCGAAAGAACTTACAATTATCAAATCGGATTTTCTGGCGAAAGCATAAATCTGTCTTTCTTGATGTTAATAATGAACATCCTAAACCTTTCTTTCATTTTATTTACCCATGAGAAGATACATACAATAAAGCTTATTAATAATTAACGAAGTTAGCTGCAATCCAATGGTGCCAATCACACAAATAAAAAATTCTGCTCCTAATTATCAAATCGGATTTTCTGCTTAAAACATTGATCTCTCCTTCTTTACATAAATCACATATACTTTTCCCAATTTTCATGTCAATCGATTCAAAAATGACTTGAAACGTCGAAAGAACTTACGATTATCATTATGTTCTAGCTAAAACATAAATCTTTCCTTCTGTATATTAATTATGAACATCCTGACCTTTTTCTTCCATTCTATTTACCAATACATAAAATAAAGCTTATTAATCATTAACGAAGTTAGCTGCGATCCAATGATGCCAATCAAACAAATCAAAAATCCCACTCCTCCGCCGCCACTGTTCCATTACCAACACAAGCACAACACTGACATGAAGTGAGTCTTTTACTTCTGTGTGCGTGCGCTTTAGTTTTTAGAGCGTGCACTCTCTGCCGCGCATGCACCAACAGATGATTGTTCCATGATCCATGTTTCCATTATATTTTTACATAAGGAATTATGGAATTATGGACATATAGTTTCATTTCTTTTATTTTTATCACACACGTTTCGAATGAGTCACTCGTCCGTGTTTAGATAATGGAAATAAAAATATTGATTAGGTGACACACAGGTGATGAACTGCGGTGGTGATTCACTAAATGTCGTTCTATTTTTTTTTGAAAGTTGATTCCCTAGCTTGTTCCTGGATTAGAAGTCCTTAAGATCGATACTCGCTTTGGACAGTCTGATGTCAAGCAGAAGTGAAATCGGTTTTTATTTGGAAATATAGATCGCGATATATTTTCAAGTGAAAACAACTCCTTTACAGCATTTTTACCCAATAACAAAAATCATCAGTATTACATAAAGTGTAATAATAAAGTTCATCACGTAGGGCCAGGTCAACCGTTTGGGTTGCCATCGACTAAAAGCTAAGTCGTTTAAGTCAGCACAATAGCTCTTAGGACTATTAAATATATGAAAAAGGATAATCCTGGGCAGATGTTGGTTGTAGTCCTTCTTGTTTATCATACACGACTAGTTTTAATTTTGTAAAAAAAAATCTAGCTTTTGGTTTATTCTTTAGAGCTTGAAGCAATATATGAGGCAGAGCATGATCCGTGCCTGTAATCATTATGGCAGCAATGTTGCCAGGTTAATATAGAAGCCATAGTATTACCAGATGGCATCGCAGTATTATTTATTAATTAAACATAACACTTTTATTTGATAATTTAAAAAGTAGGATCAAAAGAGTGGTCAATGATTGAAATCATCATGACGGCAGCGTTGACAGATTATGTAAAGCATAATATAGAATTCTTAGGATTGCCTCATGGATAGAATTCTTAGGATTGCCTGATAGCATCACAGTATTATTTATTAATTAATTAAACATAACACTTTTATTTTATAGTTCAAAAAGTAGGGTCAAAAGAGTGGTCAATGATTGAAGACATCATGACGGCAGTGTTGACAGATTGTGTAAAGCACAATATAGAATTCTTAGGATTGCCTCATGGCACAAATGAGCAAATGAAAACAAAAAACTTGCGAGAAAAATAAATGAACTCTACTGACGCACAAACTTGTTAATACAATCAAACTGGAAGTTTTACCAACATTTTCTGGTAAATCAAAACTACTTACTATAATTAAATATTCATCTAAAACATCATATTAAATGTAATTGAACATCATCTGCCGAAAACATTTCACGTTTGACGTATGAGTCGCTGTCCATTGTTTCATTTAAATTACGCTTCTACAAAAATGTTCAAATTGAAAATGTAAAATTTCTACGCTGTTTTGAAATAATATCTCACCTTTTGCACAAACTCTGGATTAGCTCGAATGTTTCAAGACTAAGACTGGCCAAATCCGCAAAGACATTTCTCTATATAATATCATTGAATGCAGAACCCAGAGGTGGTCAATGTCTGAAATCATCATGATGGCATTGTTGCCATGTTGTGTAAAGAATAATAAAGAATCAATTAGGTTTCAAGTTTATAATGAATAAACTGAATCTTGAAATAGAAAATACTTTTATCTACATAAATTACTTGAAATCAAAACTTGACAACATAGTCAATACTCTTGCTAATACTATCAACAAAGACCTTTTAAATTGATTTCTAGCTTTTGAAAACT